GCAAAACGACCCTGACATTGCGTTGGTATGACCAACATAAACGTAAGGGCTACATAAGGACGGGAAGGGAAACAAGAAAAATAAACTGACGCATAATCATAATGACTGTTTTCCAAAGGGGGCGTTCATAGTGGCATTAATAAAACGAAGCATGCAACTATTGAAGTACCCCTTTTTCACTACACTATAAGATAGGTTGGCGCAATATGTCAAAGGAATAAGCTTTAGATTACTATGACGGTATTTAAACAAGAAATGAATATTAACGGCACGCATCGCAAAAAAAAAAAATGCCCACATGCGGAGCATAATATCGGCACCTACCTTGGCGGAGAGGACTGTCACTCCCTCGCCCAGTTGCGGACCATTGAGGACACCGGGGCTCAGCGAGCTGTTCAATCCAGAGAGCTGCTGCTCGACGACAAGGAAGCGCTTGTGAGCGAACGAACGCGCTTCCCAGGGAGAGAAGGAGAAAGAGGGAGGGATGGAAGGAGGAGGGCCGGGCTTTGGGAGGAGGGAGAGAGGGCGAGAGCCCTAGCGATCTTTCATGAGCGTCGGTGTATGCTAACAAATATCGAAATAGCAGAACTTCGAAAAGTAATTTCTTAATGTGCAATTATTTTTTATACCGTCTCAATGAAAATAATGAGCAAGCAACTGACCGTCAGCACTGTTGGCTGATAGAAATACACTTGCTGATTAAAATACAGCACAGCTTGTTTAAGGTTAAGGTTAACCTACGAATCTTTGGTGAAATTTTGTTCGTAACTATGGAAGGGTAACTGTATTGTTTGTTCTACGAAAAAAATGGAATTTTGCTGTGTCTTTTAAAAACAAATGAGAACAAATCATGAGGACTGCTTTTACATTTCTGGAAGGTGTGTCGAGGCAGGAAAAGGGTTGGGAAGCACTGACCAGACAGACAGACAGACAGAGAACCGGGTTCTGGATAAACTCTGACTTTAAGGAACTAATAAGCTCTGTGTTTGGTATCACAGAACTACGTTTCCATTGCATTGGCACAGAACCCTGCTTTCTGCCTGAGCTAATGTGAGAAAGAGAGGTGATGCAGGAATGATTTATTGCTCGCTTATTAAATCTTCCCGTAAACACCTATATGCAGAAGTGTCTACCTTTGGCATTACTTACTGCTAATTTACAGTAATCATGGTAAATGGTATGAAACTCAGCCCACAGTTATCATAGAAAGTCTGTGAATATACAAATAAGCGTACATTCCAACATTCATAGCTGGATTTGTTTGGTATCATTAATCTGTTCAACAGCACTGGTGGAACACTGGCGCAGTGGCTGGTACTGTAGCCTCCAGGGCTGGGGTCTGAATCCAGCCCCTTATTTACGCTTGTGTGTTTCCTTGTATTTTGTGGCTTTCGACCTGCAAGCTGTCAGGCAAAGTCAGGCAGATTGGTGTGTCTGTTTAGCTCATAGTGGGATGGCTGGCATCCTTTGCGGGGAGTCCCCAGCCTTGTTCCAGGGCTTCCTTTGATAAGATCCAGGCCTTCGCCCTGGTTGGAAGATGGAAGATCCTGCTTATGGGGTGAATGAGGCAGGTTGTAAGTGACGCAGTGCCTTCCACTCTGCCCCTAGCATCAGGGTCTGCTCTGACCAGGCACATAGCTAGGTATAGTAAACGTACAGCTTTGAACCCCGTCAAAAGGCTGTGGGCCTGCTCTTTCAGGCTTTGTCTGGCCAGTGTTCTTGCCTCACTCCCAGACACAGAGAACTGGGACCGAGCACAGTGAAGGGGACTACATGACCATCCCCTATGCAGGCTACTAGCATACGCATTTTCAAGATGGCAGTTGTGTTGTGTTTCAGAGGCAAGCTATTTGCATAACCAATCGACACTCAACACGTCTACAAGTCCCACCCCAAAGTACTGAAGTACCAAAAAAGTACCTTAGCTGGTTTGGTACTTTAGGTACTGGAACTATTGGTACCGGAACTCGACCAGAAGTCAGTGGAAAAGGGCAAGTACAGAAAGTACTGGGTACAGTGCCCTAGCATCCCTGGGAGTTGACGCACAGAACCAGGTGCTGCCATTTTCACATAGGCGATGTCATTTACATACAAACGTAGACAAAATTGTTGGTACCCTTACAGCTCATTGAAACAACATTTTATTTCTCCTGATATGTGATTCAGTTAAAAGCAATTGTCTAATGTATACCTGCATGCCTTTAGTACTGTATGTGATCGAGTAAACCAATAAAATTATGAAAAGAAATGATTTGTTGTTTATCTCACAAAGATATGCTAAATAGTATGGACGGATTTGTTGGTGCCCCTAAAGAGACTATTTATCCTTGCATGATAGTCATGTTTCAAACTGAGTGTTTAACCTTTAGTATTACAGGTGACTTCAAGCGTTTCATCAGCCATTCAGCCAATTTAAAGGGGAAGAACGTGCTACAAGGTTATTTGGTATCAATGTGTGTGCGACACTGAACATGGACGAGAGAAAGCAAAGGAGAGAGCTGTCTGAGGAGCTCAGAGAGAAGATTATAGGTAACCTTGTTAAAGGTAAAGGTCATAAGACCAACTCCAAGCAGCTTCATGCTCCTGTGACCACGGCTGCCAATATTATTAAAAAGTTCATGGGACTGTAGCCAAACTCCCAGGACGTGGACACAAGAGGAAATGCAACCCCAGGTTGGTCAGTAGGATAATGCAGATGGTAGAAAAAGAGCCAAGGAAACCATCCAAAACCATTGTAGCTGAGCTCCAAGGTCAAGGTACGTCACTTTCTGATCGCACCATCCGTTGCATTTTGGACAATAATGGGCTCCATGGAAGGAGACCCAGAAGGGCTCCTCTACTGACAGAAAATCATAAAAAGCCACAGTGGAATTTGCCAAAATGCATGATGACAAGCCCCAAAGTTTCTGGGAGAATGTCGTTTGGACTAATGAGACAAAAACAAAGCTTTCAAAGAAAAGAACTGGCCCTCCATGAGCCCAGATCTTAATCCTATTGAACATCTATGAAAAGATCTGAAAATTGCAGTGTGGAGACGCCACCCTTCAAATCTGAGACAGCTTGAGTAGTTTGCTCAGGAAGAGTGGGCCAAACTACCTGTTGGCAAATGCAGACGTCTCACTGTGAAGTACAGAGATCGCTCGTTGGCAGTGATTGCTGCAAAAGGTAGTCCCACAAAATATTAAAATAAGGGTACCATTGTCTGTGCCTTTTTCATTTGTTTAATTATATAAAATATTCAACTGAATCAATAATCAAAAGCAAAGTGTGGTTTTTGTTAAATATGGAGTAAACAACAGGGGATGCCATTAAACTTTTGTCAGCTTCAAGTTAGTTTTTTATTTTTTGTGGAATGGTACCAACAATTTTGTCCACATCTGTAAATAAACAAATAGGAAGCATTAGAAGCACACCTCATAAACACAATAAAATCATAATACTAATGGAGCTTTTCCACTGGCACCAGGAACCGAGCTACACTGCGAACTGACGGTTTTCCAGTGCAAAGTATGTGAGTCGTACCTGAGCAGAACTGCGAACCAACGGTCTTCCATTGTAAATTATGTGAGCCATACTCAAGCTGTACCTGTGCTGACTTGGCCTTGCTTACTAGCAGGACCGAAAACGTGGTGGTTACATCACCACCATGCAACCTTGGTTGAAATGCAAGGAGATACCGCGGTTCTGTGTAAATATACATGGATTATCTGAAGGAAAAAAGGGCCTATTCTATATATTATTCACTATTAGTAGTATTGCACATCATGATGTATTGATGCAATCTTGAAACTTGGAATTTCTACTTAAAATAGTAGTATAGAACAGCTGAAAGGAATGGATTCATAATTTTAATTTACACAAGCGAATGCTACTTCTGCTAGCATTTCATGCTAACATAAGATGGTGACTCTCACAGACTTGCTGGCAGAAATTAGCACTGTGTGTACAGTAAATAAGTGTCTCTTTGGTTTTACGTCACTGCGTCTCTCCAAACCCAATGCGGCTTGGTTCCTGTATGCCAGTGCAGAAGTGCCGTAAATTGTAACAGTTATAACATACTGTTAGTCTACTGCAGGATAACTCCTGTTATCCAGTTACCATTTCCATCCATTAATCTTCCACCCACTTCGGTCCCAGGCAGCACAGACTAAAAGGCAGAGTACAGTCTGAATAGCATGAAAGTCCATCACTGGGCACAGACATGCTCAGTCACACTGTGTCATTGGTGGTGAGACACATGCACAGTCACACTATGTGATTGGTGCTGAGACACATGCACAGTCACACTATGTCATTGGTGCTGAGACACATGCACAGTCNACACATGCACAGTCACACTATGTCATTGGTGCTGAGACACATGCACAGTCGCACTATGTGATTGGTGCTGAGACACATGCACAGTCACACTATGTGATTGGTGCTGAGACACATGTACAGTCACACTATATGATTGGTGCTGAGACACATGCACAGTCACACTATGTGATTGGTGCTGAGACACATGCACAGTCACACTATGTACTGAGGCACACATTAACCTGACTACATGTCTTTGGACTGGTGGAGCAAATCTACACAACAGAAAGTCTTGGGACGTTTGCTTAATTCTGTAAAAATGTTGCAAATTTATTGATTTTATAACAAAAGTCCATTGACAAACATTTCTTAACATATCTGCAAATATCTTCCGCACAGATATTTTCTTTTTATTAAACGTCATAACTTTTTTGATCGACTCATTTAGCCATTTTGCTATTAATTGCAACTGTAGTCAGTGGCTGCCAAAGGAATACTAAACACAAATGTTTGGCGTTTTATGTTATTGTAAAGGTGTCACTAATTAAATAACACCCAATAAGGCTGTGTGTCAATGAACTTTTTAACTCAGAACAGCTTTTTCAAAACTATAATTTGGGTTTCAGTTTATTACTACTTGAAATGAATGTTTTATTTCAAAACTTTCTTCTAAACAAATGAATAAAGTAATGACGACCAAAACATTTGCAGTATTTTTATTGAATTGAGTGAGCGTCCCAAGATTTCAGTGAGTGCTACAGGTAAAACATACAAACACTGCACAAACACAGCAGAGATTAAAATCCCGACAGTGGAAGTGGGAAGCAACACTGCCAATCACTGAGCCACCATACCCTTCACAAGCATGCTAATAAGGACTTCGTTTAATTAGCAGCTTTGTACTGCTCTATAAATAGCAAGCATGCAATTACACGTCCGTAAAGAAACGAAAAAATACAAATCGTTAATATTTTCTGTTTATGGCAGGATACATACTCACTCACATGACCTCTAGTCTTTTAGGCCGTAAGATATTTCAAAAATTCCTGTGCACTTCTACACAGATTCCTGTTTGCCCAGGAGTTCGAGTAAAGGGCTCTGTGTAGGAGATTCACATTACAAAGAGTTGGAGGAAAACAAAAAGCACTATTTCAAAAGGTTTAAAACAATTGAATTGTATTGTTTTTTGGCTTTAACACCAGGAATGACATTCTCGTACAGGAGAAGGTGTGTAAATGTGCAGATGAATGCATATTATTGCGTAAGAAAGGGATGGAGTGGGAAGAGAAAAGAAACTGATACAAAATAAACAACAAAACCACAAAGAAAACATACAAGGTACAAGTCGTGACATTAAACACGGTAGCACAGGAGACTCAGAGACAGACACACAACCATAGGCAGACTTTTGTACTCATCTGGCTTTTAAATACCATCGGATTCTGTCAATAGCATTGTGTAATTCGGAACCTGTTCCATAGCTCTGTAACCATAACGCACAGATTCATAATGCTTAGTCTTCCTGCTGCGCCTGGCTCCACCAGGATCAGCTCCATCAGGATCAGCCCCATCAGGATCAGCCCCATCAGGATCAGCTCCACCAGGATCAGCTCCATCAGGATGCCGCAGTCAGTGTACTTTAAAAAATCAGCTTCATCAGCACCTGGCATCTGTCTCCGGCACTCCAACTATGTTCAAATCCTCTTTTACCTTGATAGCATCATTTGTTTTTGCCTGACCTCTAAATTTGTCGGAAACAATTGTAACTTCTATATTCGGCTGTTACTCCTGGTGCCCTTGGTTTTTATAGATTTCATAATGGTCCGGAAAGTCTAATCTGAAGTAAAAAAAATTAATAATAATCACAAGAGAAAAAAAATTTCTTCCTTCAAAGCTTCAAAGATGCCCTGCAGAGTGAAAATAGGGAAAAAGATTAAATGATAAAATGATAAATGATAAATACACATACACATATATCTATGGATTCAGGGCTATAAAGGCTACAGATATATTATACTAATATGACAGTGATTAATCTGGAACAATTATGTTATGTGTTGAAAACCTATAATGACATTAAAAAGGATTATGACATAAAATACTGGTTACTGTACCTCGAGCTAGAAATGGGTGTGGCAATATGATGACTGGGTACCAAAAACAATAACTGCTGGTGGTTTGACACACATCACGTCCTACAGAGAAGAACAAAAGATCAGAAAAGTTGGTGCTGTACTGTAGTTAGAGAAGATATGAAGCCTATCGAGCAGGACGCCTCCCTCATCTCCCACCCCTTCAGCAGTCCTCACCAGTCCTGGATGGGCCTCTATTTTGAAAAAGAAGGACACTGTCCAGGCAGCATGGATCACAGACCTTCTTGGAAGGTTGCACAGTACACTGCGGGGCCCAAGGGACCGTAACAGGAACACCACGACAGACTCAAAACCACATTCCGCCTGTCTTCCAGAATCCAGCATTATGATTACCGCTTCTGTTCACAACAGATGCTTTAGTATGTTTCTGAAGATAGTAAAACAAAATTAATTCATTTACTAAACATAAAACATAAAGCTTGAACTTAACACTACTGATTAGAGCTCATGCCTGTATGACACGTCTGCTGAGAAACAAACCTGTACGATTTTGTAACGTGTCTGACTATGTCACTCTGTCATTGTGACTCAAACTTTATGACTGAGAGGAGGAGACACTGCCTATCCTTCATCTAACACAAAGAAATGCCACTCTTCCGCTGCTCTCTGCCGAGAGATAATGCCACTTCAACATAAGCAATCGCACTCTTCACTATAATATTTTTTTTTCCTTTAGTAGCATTACCTGAATCGTTTGATGCCCGAGGAACCTCTCCTTTTACCAACAGGTGTCAGTGCCACTATCAAGGAGTAACTACGGATCCAGGACACTAAGGCTTGCAAGCGGAGGTGGAAAGTTCAGGTCCAGAAAGTACAAATCCAGACCAAGGTTTTGTTTCAACCAACCAGTTTAGCATAAAGAGTCACAGTTACAGAGCACTCAACTGACTGGTTGAAACAAAATCTTGGTCTGGATTTGTACTTTCTGGACCTGAATTTTCCACCTCCGCTAACAAGAGGCATCATCACTAGCCAGTGTATGTAGCTTCTTTTATATGACACCTTACAGTCTTAAAGAACATGCAAACTTCCTCTATCCACAACCTAACTGTGGATGTAATTACTGTTATAATTGACTCTCCTTGACAAACACTTGGATTAGAAAACTTGATTTGAAGGATTTTTCCACACACTACATAGTACTAGCTTTTGTGTAGACTACGTACAAATAATACACATATGACCTTGATTAGAATAGGGATATTCATTCCCCCCCATGGGGAGTCCGGGCTGTCACTGATCCCTTCCCCATTTTGGGGTCAGGATGGAGGATCTGCTGGCGTCCAGCAGCCCCGGGACAATGGGGGTTAAGAGCCTCACTCAAGGGCCCAATCATGTCATTATTCTGCCGGCCGCAGGATTTGAACTCGCAACCTTCCAATCAGACACTGTTTTCCAGAGTGCACGGCTAAGTAAATTATACATCCCAATTTCATAGACATTATGTTAAAATGTAATTAATAACTTGAATGTGAAATTGGCACGAAGCGATTAGTTTCAGGTCTGATCTGAAAGGATGGCTCCGGTCTGGAGTCATGAGAGCAGAAGATACAGACATATAGGGATATCAGGCAGTCCCAGCTAAGGGGGGGGGGGGGGGGGGGGCACCAAATCATACACTTGCCCCCCTGCCCCACCTTGGGAAAAGTAGGATGGTTAAACTTATTGAATCTAATCTGCAGATGGATTTACTGGCACGAGCACCTCCCCTCCGATTAGACAACGTTTAATCTCAGTCCCCTGTAGACATTCATTCTGCTCATCCAACAATTCAAAGCAGAAGCTGGGCTTTATGTTAGGAAACACTTACACTCATCTGATTCTCACTCCCAGCTTGGACAGCAGGTCAGACCCTCCAACCTACTCTCACAAAAATAAATCCTGTTTTACAAAATGGAATCTTGCAAACTATTTACGTTTCTTCATTTTTTTTTCATGGCACCTGCTCTGTTTAACCCTCTAGCTTCATACCGGCGGCATTGGGGGGGTTGGATCTCCTTACAGTGTTCAGGCTGTTTGCATGTTTTATCTTCAGACACTATGTTTTCCAGACACAGTGCAAAAACATGCAGATTTGCAACTTGAAACTGCCTAGAATGTGTATGTTTGCAAGTGACTGACTTTCCAAGGTGCCTCCTTGCCTTGTGTCTGGGGTCAGGCTCCAGGCTCCAGTCTCCAGGCTCACCCTGTACGGGGATGATGGATGAAAGCTTCTCTCTGCCAGGTTCATGCCTTGCCTTCCACATCCTTATGTACTGTAAGCTTCTGTCTCGCTGCAGCCTTGTGCTCTATGGGAAGTTTTGAGAAAATGAAAGTGTCTCATTTTATAAAGCTAGAAATGTTCACTTGTTGGTTTTTTTAATACTTAGATTAAAACTAATTAAAAACTAAAAATAAGGCATAGGTCAAACCTTGCATAGGTCAAGCTGGTATAGAAAATGGATGGATGGTTGGATGGATGGATGGATGGATGGATGGAAAAAACAGTTATACATAGAGTTTATAACAGAAATATAACCAAGTAGTAAATTATATAACATTGTTTTCTCTGAAGTATCACGTACATATAAGGGAGGACTATGAATTAATGCAGTAGCCTATGATTTTTAGTGTTTTGGAAAGCGCTAGCAATCTTTCAGATTGGGTTTCTTCCACAAATGTATCCAACAACTTGTATCTTCCGGTCCTTGGAATATTTCCCTCTCTTCATTTATTTTCTTGTGGCTGGTCGTGTCCTTTTAAGGCCATTAAAGGCAGGAAACTAGACCCTGAGATCGCAGTTCCCCCGCTGTCAAAAATAGAATCATCTGCTTCTCATTCATGTGTGCAGCTATAATCCAACCATCAGCGGCAGGGCAGAGAGCAAAATGAACCTAAGACAGGCTGTTTAGACCCAGGGTGCAAAGAGGGCACGACCTCCTTTTGGATGTTCGTTTTTCAAGGGGGGTCAGCTGAGACCCACCCAGTTATGTTCCATCGCTCATGTGTGTCCCGTCCAGACGGTGTTTCCACTTGGCAGGCCGGGTCCCTCTCGCAGCTGCAGAGGAAGTTTGTCAGTGAATCCAGCACCCAACATACTGGCCTTGGCCAACGTCCAACCAGTTAAAAAACAGCTACACCCAGTATCAAATAATGCCGGGACACTCAGCTGAATATTTTATCCAGTGTGATCGGTATGTCTAAATTAAGAAACATCGGTCGGGTCCTATGACTCAGAAGGAATGTCAAGACTGATCTGAAATGTGGTATTCAAATAATAGTCTAAATATGTAGGTTTCATGAGTATTTCGAAGAACAGGAGAGAAGTCAAACCACACATGTGTATTACACATCTAATAATTACCTGTCCGTCTCCTAACCCCTTCACATGATTAGGGTCACATCTAGGTAGATATCTAATAAATATGTTGTATCATAATTATTCTCATAATTCTGAAGATTACGTTGCAATTCGGCCGCTAAGCCTATTGCCCACTTATGGTCTTTTCATCACATCATTTTTTTTTATTAACTTGAAAGAGTTTGTAATTCTATTCAACCCGCAATAATGGATTGAGAAAACATACTTATGGCTATTTTGACATTTTATTTTCCACTTTAATACAAGTAAGCATTGCTGTTCACTAATTAGTCACAGTGCATGTAGCAGATTGAAATGGTTTGGGGTAAAAATAACAGTAAAATATATTAGCAAGATTATTGTTCATTTGTTTGAGTGAAACAATTGTTTGTTTTGCCTTGTTATTCATTTAAAGATGGGGTGAAATGGTGGTGTCACACCCCACAATTAGGGGGCATTGATTGGCATGTTCGCCCAATGTTGTGCAGATTCAAGTACATGGGGTTATAAGTTAAACTGTCTCTTGCTCTCCGAAATGCTGCCTGCAGTCCTGTGTCTGTTCTTTGCTCTTTAAATTGCTCAGAATGGGATCAGTTCCAGGCTCGATGTTTCTCCATCCAGTATAAACTGTCGTAAGATGGAAGGATAATTATTTTAAAGTGAACATCCCAGCAATAAACACATCTTTCCCTCAAAAGCTTTTATCCAGATAAATGTTGGTTTGTAAAAGCATAATGAGGACAGAATAGCAGCACTTGAATGTATACAGGCAGAAGGAGAGGACACAGAGTTACTGCTCTAATATGCTATTCAAGTTATTCTTCAAATTCAGAACAATGAGAGGAAATCCTGGAAAGGAAGACAAATATTTCCTTATGACATCCTTTGATGATATAGTTTTTGAGTCTTAACCATATGCTGTTACTTTTAATAACTGTGTTAAATTGTTTCAATTTAAGCATGATACAAAATAAATGAATGTGGGTTTTTATGCTAAAATGGTACATTTTTTCTCCATCATTACCACTTTTCTGTGCAGCAATCTGCGTTTCGCCTAATGATCACCCGTATGCTGCATCCGTATCTCTGCCAAATTGATTGCGTACTTTGAAAGCTCAGTGTTTTGCTGGGAAACTGCCAACAGGGAGAACAGCCTTTCTTTTGCAGCTGGAGAGCAGAAAGCCAACACATCTGTTGAAGGTGATCGTGCAGTTAGTCAGCAGCATTGCCCTTGTTAACACAGTCCTCTGGCCTCCTCTTGACAGAACCCTAGCAAGCAATCACACTCCCTCACCGCAAAACTCCTTAAGACAATCACACCATCTTACGTAACAGGCTGAAATGTAGCTTTCAGCCTGCAGACTGAACTAAAAACCACACTGCACAGACAGTCATAGGGCAAAGAATAAATGCTTCAAATCCTTCTGGGAATATCGTCAATCGGTGCTCTGTTGATCAAAGCAATTGCGGCCTATTTTAGCACAAAGGGAGATTTTTTTTTTTACTTTAATAATATAAGTTCTTTCAGCACTGTTGTCTTTTAGGGACGCAGTGAGGTGATCTGTGCAGTCATGAAGACAGAGCCCCTGGCACTGTATCCAACATGACAAACATAGCGGACCGCTGACTATGAACACACCACACAAAAATCCTGTGTGACAAGAGGAATATCAGGAGTGCCCTTATACCAGACACATCGGTCTGTGTGCAGCTTTACGGTAATCAGACAGCCTGTAATGAAGCTTTATTGCTTTTGAAACAGAGGCTTTTAAATAAAGATGCTGATCGGAAATCATCCACTGAGGTGAACGTTTGTATATTCCTTTTATTTAAAGACACCCAAAAATTATTCAGTAAATGGTTCATGTACTAGAAAATTTACCGTGTCCAAATAAAATTGCACATAAAAGTCCATCACTTTAACAGCCATATGTAAAATCTTCATTAACAGTGGATTAATTTTTGAGAAGCATTCATCATTTGACATTGAAAATTTGTATTTTAACATTTTTCTCATTTCAATATGCATCTTTCTGAGTGCTTGGATTCTGTGCTGAATGTCTTGTTAATTCCATCTCTGTGAAAGCTTTCTACTCACATGGTACAAAGGCAAGGGCCAGACAAGACCAAGGGCACAGATCACACTAATCACCAGCTGGCAAAAGAGTTCTAGCCCACAGTTTGAGAACCCAAGATTCACCAGGTCAAATACTCAGCCCAAGATCAGGATGAATTAAATCCATAAAGCTAATCAAAGGGAATATGCTTTATTGATCCCAGTGTGATCAACGGTGGACAGCTGAGAATGGTGAAGCTTTAGTATAATCATTACCTTGGATACAGGCTTTAATAATACTTTGTTTCAAAAATATTTCAGTTTAGTGTCTTACATTCTGAAGTTCTGGGTAGCTGGGTCGGCCAGGACAAAGCGCTCTCGGTCCCTCAGAGCGGTTAGCTGATCCAGGGTCATGCTATGGACACCATGAACGTGGAATCCTTTGCAGCCGTTCCAGAATTTCAGAAGGCCCAAGCATGCCTGAGGGGTAACAAATGCAGCATGTCTCCAAATGATACGCATGCCGAAGCCATTTGGAGGGAGGGGCACATGCCCCCGGCCTGCTGTACCCCCCTGACATATCAGGCTGGGTGTGCTAGTAGCTACGGGCTATCCAAGGCCCCTCCCGGCAGAAAATCCTCCTTGCGGCCTAGTTTAACAACAGTGCACTATACAGTCAGCTCTTACTTTACTAGACATCAGGTTTACGATAATTTAATGTTGCGATGCTCCAACAATGACCATCAATAAATAATCAGAGATAATCAAAACTTTCGTTTTTCACTAGTGATCAGTTTGGGTAGTAGGCTGCCTCATAGTAAGAAGGTCCTGGGTTCGGTCCCAGGTCCTTTCCGTGTGGAGTTTGTACCAGCGGCTCTGGTTTCCCCCCACAGTCCAAAAATGTGCAGGACTGGTTGATTGACCAGTTTACATTGGCCCTGTAAAAGTGTGTGTGTCCCTATCCTGGGATCCATTATCCTGGGATCCATTATCCTGGGATCCATTATCCTGGGATCCATTATCATGGGATAGGCTCCAGTCCCCCTCCAACCCCAGTTGGGATCAAGTGGTCAAAGTGATGGATGGATGGATGGATGCATTACCTGTTGTGTGTCTGCATTGATCTACATTAATAACAAGTATGTAAATACAGTTGAAGAGCTGAGAATTATGAACATTAATTTATACAACATTTAATTTGAAATTCTAAACTTAATAAGCGGAGAAAATATATATCTGTGTGTGCATGTATATATAGAAAAGTATACTTGTATTGCCAACATAACTGAGACCTGAGGCCTGAGAATTACGATAAAACATAAAAGTCCCACAATGATGATATGGACTTAAACAAATTATGTAGCCCCATAAAACATTGCTTGGCTGTGAAGCAAACTTCCAGATTCTCAGAAACAAAATGACCGTTAGGAAACAAGAATGAAGAGGCCAAGACGAATATAATCACGCGATCAGGGTGTCGCTGGAGTGCTGAGAGGTGAGTGAGTCCCCGCGATGGCACCCTCCTGCCCGCTGCAGATGGCCCAGTGCGTCTCCTGGAGCTTAAGGGCGGCTGGCAGAGGAGTCTGGGCCGGGAGCAGGAGGCCCAGACCGGCCTGCCGGAGGCCTCCGTCGGGAGAGAGCCTCCAGGGGACATTCTGTGGAGGCCTGCCCAGCGTGCCAGCTGCACGGGGCGGGGCCTGGGCGGGCCGTCTCCAGTGCACATTGCTTCCTTTGTGCCGTGCACACTGGAGCATTGATCCCCAGTGGCCTGTGCCACCAGAGCCGCGATGCACCGACCTGAACAGGGACTCGGGTAACAAGCGCCAGGGAAAGATAAGGAACAGCTAAATACAATGTTAATAAACATTTGCCCTTCGAGTTTTCGCTTAAAACTCAAATGCAATGAAGAACGATCTCCTGATCCCCTGGTGCCACATAAAGCAGCCAGACATAAGTCTGGACTTCGAAACGAAAACGATTCTGTTCTTTTTTGAGCTGATTCTGGGTAGTATTCAGTGCCGTATTTATCCATCCCACTGATTCGTTGAGGTCACTCAGGTCTACTATGAAGAACTAAAAATACCTGAAGAATTTGCTCTGTTCCTCAGTACTGTTGTTTATCTTTTTTTAAATGTGTGCGACATAGAATCAGGTATATAAGCACCAACGAGACAGAGCACTAGAAGTGAAGCAGGAGGCTGCAGTTCTGAAGCCCTGGAGCGACTTAATGGTGAGACAGTAATGTGGAGAGACTGGGCACACAGGCTACGCCCCTTTGCGTCTTTATTCCTAGAGACAGCATGGAAATGTTTTTACCTTGGATGCCAGATTCCAGGTACAAACTGTGAAATTGGAGCCTCAGAATAGGGGAAAAGCCAGTGAAGGGGGGGGGGGGACACAAGATTCATTTCAAAAGTTGGGAAATGTAGATGGCGCACAGATCATAACAAAGGTCACGTTTCAGGTGGTGTGTATACCTCGCAAGGAATAGCAGCTCACATACAGAGACCAGTAAAAACCAGTGGTCCAGTGTTATGAAGTTTGGAATTCAACTGAAGAGTCTGGGATGCAGAGTCATAGAATGAAACACTGAGGTCACGCCTCACTAAGCAGCATTGTACCTATACTCCACACTCTTCACTCTGTCTAAGAGACAACACCACTGGCTTGGCAGTGCGTCACAAGGCACTGCAGACTGCTTGGCCGTCACAAGGCACTGCAGACTGCTTGACAGTCACAAGGCACTGCAGACTGCTTGGCCGTCACAAGGCACTGCAGACTGCTTGACAGTCACAAGGCACTGCAGACTGCTTGGCCGTCACAAGGCACTGCAGAGCGTCCTGTAAGAAGATAGAATGCTAAGGCCTTTTGGAAGTCCTCAAGCACCTCTTGATAAAAGCTCTGCCCTGAACTCCAGGTATGAGAAGCAGATGGTGGCTGGAGTATTCAGAGGGGGAGACATTCCTCAACTGGCTGTTTGCTTCACCTCTACGGGACCCGCAACTTGCCCCTTTGCAGCTCTGAATGACGTGCTGAAGCATAACGCTTATATGACTTCAAATAACTGCATGGTATTTAGCCTGTACGGTATTGACACCTTTTTGGTTATTCACATACCATAAGGTGCTCAGCCCAGTTGTACTGCCCCACGATCATCTTAGATATGAATCCAAAGAAGTCAACATAGCTTTAAGAAAATTTCCCTCATTTCATTTTTCATTTAATTTCCTGTCTGTTATGCTATTTTTTAGACCATCAATCCTAAGAAATCCTGAAAAGTCAATTATTACATGTTTTCTTTCTCTGCCCTTTGGGGGAATATTATATATAGGCAAACCCATCAGCACTGACTGGTCACCAGCATAATGAGGTGAGTGTATTATTCCAGCATGACGAATAGCAGCAGTCTGGATTAATGAGGGAATTTACTGTGATATAAGAAATAAATCATAATAAGATGTGAAGAATTTGAGTTATATGTTTTATGGTAAATGTCAGTGTCTATATCATTTATATTTTAGAGTGTCAGAATTGTTCTTACTCTATTGTACCTGAATTCTGACAAGGAACATTAATAGACACCCCATTAGACTTTGTATTGCTTTAAAATATTGTATTATATTGTGAAGATAAAGAAGTCCTTCTTCTTCCCGGCCTCAGTACCAGGTTCACTGTATAGCTCCACTATGGCATCCATTCGCATGCATCAGATCTGAGTCGCTTACCAATATCTGTGCATGTTGTTCTTCAAAGAGCCAGCATGCAGGTGACAGAGTCACTGAACTGGTTTTAAGGCATATCCCTTAGGCTATAGGGATAGGCAAATCTAACTGCTGTAGTTTTAATTTCGTCCATTGTAAGTTACATATAAAAGTACGCATTTTATTTCTACTATAGACTTGTAAATTCTTTTTTGTTTCTTTGGCTATTTCATTATAACAATTTGTAGCCAATCATTGCAAAACTCACTGCGTAATCCATTTTATGTATTCTGAATTAATAGTTCAGTCTGTTACAAAAAGGAATATATATATATATATATATAAATTCAAATCTTGAATTTAGATAATGAAATCAGTGTCAAAGCTAAGTTCACAGACACACCTCTACAGCACAATTAATCAGGAGAACACTATGGTATTACAGCTAATTACATTCATGCATGATTCTCCAAAACACAATGGAGAATTTTCTGCTACTTAAATCATGATCAGTTGAAATCTTGACAAATATTACGGGGATGTGTTTGTGATTTGAAGGTCACAGGTTCAAATCCCATGGCCAGCAGAGTGTTTCAGCAAGGTTCTTGACCGCAAAAACTGCCCCTAGGGTGTGTGTGGGTTGAATGGCTGACACCGCACTCTGACTCCAAGCTCTGTGTTCTGCTGTGCAGACCAACTAGCAGTGGTATTGAAATCCACCTTCATCCTCTCCCTATCACTGGCCACTGTCCCCAACTGTCACAAATTCACCACTATGGTCCTGAAAGTCTTCAGACCGGTTACACTCACCTACATTATTTCCAGATGCTTAGCGCGGCTGGACCTCTCACACCTCAAAGCCACAATTCCAAATGCCCTAAACAAGCACCAATATGGCTACAGACCTAATGGGTCCACAGAGGATTCCATTGCCACCATTCTGAATAGAGCTCTCACCCGATTTGAACACCCAGGGTCATTTGTGTGGATGCTTTTCATTGATTATAGATCCTCATTTAACACCATCATACTCTCCCGGGTCTACAGCAAGCTCTGTGAGCTGGGTCTTAGCTAACCTATCTGCACATGGATCTGTGACTTTCTAACCAACTGCCCCCCAAACAGTGAAACTGGGCCCCCACCTTTTATCCACCCTTACGATCCGCACCGGTGCACCCCAGGGCCATGTGCTCAGCACGTATACGCCCACGACTGTCTTCCAGCCCACAGCACAAACACCAATGTGAAAGTTCGAAGATGCCACAACAGTGGTGGCAGTGGATTGCAGACGCCGATGAGTCAACCTGCAGAGACGAGGTACACAGGCTGTTGACATGGACTTCAGAGAACAATCTGCCACTAAACACCGTCAAAACCAAAGAGCTCATTATCAGCTTCAGGAGAACACACACTGATCCCACTCCCATCCATATCAATAGTGCCACAGAGGATATTGAAAAAATTCCCCAGATCCAATCTCCTGGAGACCCATATCAGGGATGAAGTCATGGTCCAACAACACCAGAGCACTGAAGAAGAAAGTAAAACCAAGGTTGTACTTCCTCCATAAACTAAAGACAGTCAGCTTGGAACTGCAGTTCCTAAAATCCTTTTACAGTCGCTCAATCAAAAGCATTTTAAACTATAACATCACCACCTGGTTTGATAACTGCACTGCAACAGACAAAACCGCTCCCCAGTGAATCATCTGGAATGCAGAGAAGGTTACTGCCGCTCTACTATCTTCCCTTGCAGACATGTATGCTTCTCACTGTCCTCATAGAGCCGAGAGCATCCTAGGCGATGCATCAAACCCTGGACACCATTTGTTTGAACTGTTGCTATCCTGTTGAAGGTACAGGGCATTCAAACCCCAACTACCAGATTTAAGAACAGTTTTTGCCCCAGTGTGGTAACCAGGTTGAATCAGGCACTAGTGAATAAAAGGGGCTCACACTACAGTGATAGTGAACCCCTGACACCCACCACACCACCATAAATTACTTATCCATTGTACTTTGCACATATTTACTAACAATTCTGTATTTTTACACTTTGTCACTCTGGGAGCTGCTACCTCAATCTCACTGTACTGTCATGCACAACAACAATAAAGAATTGAATCTTGACTGTTGGATCTATGTGTGTCTTTCACAGGAGAGCAAGATGGGATATGCTAAGACTGAATTTTCAATGTTAATGTCACACCCGTTCCATCCCATTCCTCATCTACTTAACACAGCGCGATCAGTAGATCGACGCAAGGTATTGTCCCTTTTCTGATGAGGTGTGCTGAACCATCTAACCTGTGTTCTCTGTCTAACTCTGAAACACTCTGCTTGCCCTGCCGATCAGCCATTGAACCCGGACCTGCTCCCCTCATGCCCGCCTTCTCAGGTTCCCCGGTGAACCTCCCTCTCTGACTTTTGGGCCCGAGCCTCCCCGGTGCTGACCTGCTTTCGGGATAACGACAATTCTGCTGTGTACAGGCTTCTGTCTGTTACAGTTATGTGCTTTCTCCTTGTACAATTACAAAAAAGGTATTTTATTAAAATATTCCACACTCACATTCGATTCTCTATAATACATACAACTTGTGCATAACCAGAGATGGAAAAAGTGATGCATCATGAACCATTTGCTTAATTTTTTTTCCCCACTAGATGGTGCTCTTGGTTTGCTTTGGGGCAGGCTTTGTGTCTTTTTTTTTTAAGAGAGAGCACCATCTAGTGGTACTCTCTCTTTTTTTGTTTCCACCATTTTTTTTACAGTCCCTAACTATGAAACATAACCAGTTCCTTCTGTGTGATGAAAATCAAAGATCCACTCACAGTTCAGGACCATATTCTTGTTTGGCTACTTGATGCTGTGACCTATTGGATACTCAACAAAGTACAGTTACAAATCAAGGACTTAAAACAT